GTGTGATTTTCTTAGAATTATTATGGGTGACTGTTATACATGTTGTTAGGCGCACGAACGCCGGTTCACCCTCAAATCGTTAAACGCACCTTGGTGCCCTAATAAGATGTCGCGGAATTGGTTCTTCACCCTTTTCCCAGCCGAAACGGCTGAATTTTTTTCACCAAGGGGGGGGGTGATGTAATAACAGCCATAGAGGGTTCACGTGGGAATGGGCTTGCCGGTCCTGCTTGTAGCCAATAAGGGTTGAGATAGGAACCATGGCCCATGCATCATCACGACAGGTCATCAGGAGTGATTGGCCCAGCCATTCGGGGTCCCAGCAAATGGGGAGCCGGATGAGGGGCGTGGTCCCGGGATTGACAGGGAACCATCGAGAATGGTCAAAGCTGTCCATGAACGATTGGCTGGGGGAACCACGTGACGGAGGTGTTAAGAGCGAGTGAGAGAGAGCGATCGCGAGCAGACTGAAACTAACAGGAGCAGGGTCACGCGCGGACGGGGGCTGGGGGTTGCCACGTGCGCGGAGAGGACTCAGTGTGTAGTCTGTCCTCTCTCCGTTGTCTGCCAGCAACGGAGAGTGAGTGAGCCAGTGTATTGGAAGTGGAAATAAAGGACTGATTCCGAAGCCGTCTCCGGGAGGATTATTACACATGTATGAGGGTCTATCTATTATTCCTTATCAGAAAAATCATGCGTGTCGTGGGGAACATGATTAACAAAAAAGATAATTATCTCAATTGGGATGTGTGATTATAATCACACAATATTTGCGTTCTATATTTCTCTCCACATACAATAATTAAAGTTTTTTTTGTACACGACATTCTGGGAGTTAATAATTCCAGCAGCATTGATTCAGTGCAAGCAAACTCTAGACTGGTTTTTACATATATTGTTGCTGATATTATGCCTCTCAGAATACTGTGGGGGCAGATGGGTTGTGTAATCATATTTTTACGCAGAAACATGAAGGAGACATTCTCTGATTGTCTATTGTGTATATTTGTAAGTCTGCTTTTGTGCATTCAGATACCTACGTGTTTGCACTTTAGAATACATATAAATAAATACATTTACATACATACACGGCATTTTATTTAACAGATAATAGTTTCAGATGACACATGTGTAGATATAACCAATGTCCTGCACAATATGAATACAAGAGGAAGCTCCAGAACTAGATGGAATAACTGTGGACATAATTAAACAATAAGGACCAGCTGTTGTAACAAAATTAGCGTACCTATTTACTAAACGTTTCTACAGTCTGCCACTGCTGCCCGAGCCACTGCTGTCATTCAATAACTCACCTGAAACCCACCCCTTCAGGAGCCACGAGTGACACCACATTGATTTCTCGCTGCAGTGGGCTCATGACAAATGTTTAATGGCTTTTTCAGTATCCTTGTAATAACTATCCATGTTACAGTGCTATAGATTTCGTCATTATTATCATCATAAAAAAAAAACTATTTAGAAGTATAAAATAAGATTTTCGTGAACCCACGGATAATAGTAGATAAATGTAAGACAATTTCAATGAGTCGAAACTAACCTTAGTCAATGTTTGTGTAAAATCTTGATTTGTAGCTTTCGTGACTGCAGCAATCCATACTCTTTGGTTCTTTTGGTAAAGTCACGCAGGTAGAAAAAATAATAGATCACGACGTTTTGATCGCAACAACAAGCGACCATCTTCAGGTGAAAGAACCAAAGAGTATGTTTTTGTAAAGATAACACTGTGTGTGTGTAGTGACATAAGAAGGGAGGGGCTGCTGGGGGCTCTGGGTTCCCGGGCGGGTCCAGACGCTTAAGCCTCTGGGCGCCAGGCGCTGGGTTCCCAGGGCGTCCAGACGCTTAAGCCTCTGGGCGCCGCCAACGGGGGGGGGGGGGGGGGGGGGGGGGAAGGGGGCTGTGTGTGCTCTGTGGGATGTCTGGTGGCGCACACGGCCCCAGCCCTCGTTGGACCAGGCATAAAAGGAGAGCTCCCTGGACAATCGGGGTCCAGTTGTAACTCAAGACCCAAGACCCACGACCAGCCATCTGAAGACCCTGGGATGTTGTGAGAGCGAGTGGTGGGACTCTGGAACTCCCGACTCTACGACCTTGTGAGGGCGAGTTCCGGAGCGTAGCCAGAGTAGAGTATCTAGGCTGTGTAGCTAAGCTGTGTACCTAGGCTGTATTAGAGTATCAGGACTGTTGGAGAGTTGGACTGTTGGAGTGTTGTATTGTAATAAAGAAGTTACCTCTACAAGTGTCTCCGGAATCCGTTACATGTGTGTTGAGCAAGGCACACTCTTTTAAATCACTAATCAATTGGAATGTGTAGAACACTATCTTTCACCTTTAAAGTCCTTAACAAAATAAACAATAATGCTTTAATTGCTGTTTAAATGAAATACTGTCATGATTAAACAAAAGAGATTAAATAACAGTTTTTGGAGCTACTACATCAGCAATACACACTAACCATATAACTCAGTTGTCTTATCCAATATCCGCTGTCCACTTAATGTTGTCAGAATAAAAGGCTTGTTGGAAATTCAACCGTAAAATGTTTCAGACTGAAAGACAGCCTTTCATGTTGCTCAGAATTACACTTTTGACAATAGTCTCTTGCCTCATGACATCAATTAAATCTGTCTTTCCAAGCTCACAGCACATGGTAGTGTGTTATGTTTTATTCAGATAACTGATGTGCAACCAGCCCAGTAATCAATTATTTGGGGTACGATGCAGTCTAATGTGAATACAAAATGTCAAAGAAAACTAAAAATATATTACACGATCAACAGAATGAGTTATAATATAATCGTTATTCACGAACTTGCTATCCGTGACTTTGGCTATCAGCGAATGGCATCTGAAACTCTACGCGACTGCATCGAGAGAGAAAGTGATGAGAGAGAATGTGACGAGAAAGTGATGAGATAAAGTGATGATGTTGCGTGCAGCATCATCATAATTTAAGGTGAGTTAATTTATAAACTATTATTAAATATTGACTTAAAACTTTCGTAACTGCAGGCATTCATATTCTATGGTTCTTTCGGTAAAGTCACGTAGAAAGGACCAATACTTCTGCCGTGGCTGAACATTATTTTAATGCAGCTGGCTCACACGAAAATTATTTCTCTAAGACGATGGTACTTGGCAAGCCTACTGGCTATCAACAAAGATTCGTTCATGAAGCCATCCATATTTATAGACACAGACATAATTTCAACCGAGAGGATGGTTATAAGCTCAGCAATCATTGGAAAGATGTCATCAACCACTTTGGGTCATGACTTGATTCGTGTTTTCTTGTCAAACTCCACCGTCAGCAGTGTGAGTGTGTGGAGCGAGATGCAATGCTTTGATTGGTGTAGACCTACTGCCCGTGTCGGAGCCCTCTCCAACATTAACATTAGCTGCCCCGCCCATCTCTAAACCTTTATAAACAGCTTGCCTTCATAAACAGCTTGCGATCGAAACGTCGTGATATTTTTAATTACTTTAATTTTTCATTTTTGTTTTATTTTTGTGTTATTATCTATCTACGTGACTTTACCAAAAGAACCATAGAATATTATTAAATACTTTTATATATTTTTACTTTGTATATCATCACCAATTTCTCGTGTTATTATGATACATTTGTATGTATTTAATAGCTTACGTATGTGTAAAGGTGTAATTGGGCGAAGACGCGTCATCCCCATGCAGTTAGCCGGTAGTGACGGCCACATGCCGACAGGGGGCAGAAGAGGGGCTGAGCCCCAGTGCTCAGAGACTATGGCCCATGAGGGCCCAACGGTAACCCTATGGAACGGTATGTTTAAAGGGACAGACCCCAGGAGGGGGGCTGGGGGATGACATCACCCCCAGATCCTTCTGGAAGGTTCGGGAAGGAAGGTGTGGCCGGGGCAGGGCGAGCCACGGCACTGCATAAAAGCCGGACCTCTGAACGGTCCCGGCAGTCGTCGTCCAGCTGAAGACAAGAAGCCTCCTGAACAGAAGAGCCCCAAGGGCAGAGCAGTACCCCTGGCTAAGGTCGGCTCAAGCTAACCAGTGAAAACTGAAGAGAAGAGCCCAGGGGCAGAGTCATACCCCTGGCTAGGGTTGAATCTAGCTATAACCAGTGAAGACCCAAGCTTCACTCAAGGAGGACTTGAAGATTAGCTAGTAAAAGACGTATTAGTCCGGAGGGGCTACCTCCTTAGGGTATCGGGTGTGAGGGGCCGCTACCCCTCTGTGTTAGGGATTGCTGTTAAATAAAAACCGTGTTGCCTCAGATAAACTCTCTTCTAGTTATACAATCCACTACATATTTATAATTTAAGGTAACTCATTCCAAAGTTATGTTTCCGTAGGCCAAAATCATTATCCGCAAAATTTTCTATTCACAAGCATCTCCGGAATGGATCCCTCGCGAATAATGAGGGAAAATCGTATGTGAAGGCTGAATAAACACAGCAAATGCAGTTTATATTGCACCACCAGCCTTGCTCGCTCAGTGTTTTAACTCCTAAACCACCGAGCCATTTTCATGTAACTGGTGATTTACACCTTAATTGCCAAGCCATCCATCTGGGGATTGGTTTGGAAAAATATACAGAGCTACCTACTCTTTCAGTGCTTGTGTTATAATATGTGCTTTAAATAGACCTATAAGAGATCTTCGTTCAGAATATATTACTGTAAATATATGGTTGCTCCATCGTTAGCTGTATAGCTTAATTGTCTGTCCGGAGCTTCAAATGATAAAAAACACCTTTGCTCTAACCCTTGGTGCTTGTCGCTTAATATAAATATAACGGGCAAAAATATTCAAAAACGAATTCGTAAAAATGTCAAATCAGATTAACTATTTAGGAATGCAGTAAGCAGAGAGGTGGTACAATATGCATCATGCTGTTGCTTTTGAATGCAATTGCACAGCTATGTCTAAATAACACGACATCGCGTGTATGTGAGCTTATGCACGTAAGCATTGCCGTAAGTATGCTTACCGCTCACGATGCTCTTTCCATTGCGCGCAAACTGGATGGAGTGGCAGGTCATGTTGGGCACAGTGATCCGCAGCAGCTCTTTGCCCGACTGTGTGTGCCACACACGTATGTCCTGACTTGAGCAGGTGGCGAACAGCTCCGATGTGCCACTGGTTATACAACAAGAAAGAATCAGTCATCTTTTTTTTATACTACCGTATTATTCAAATTATAAGACGCAGTTATATCCGCTGTGGTGTACTAGTTATGAATACTGGACTTACAATCCAGAGGTCACCGATACGATGATCTCCCAGTACGGCAGTTAAATCATTGGCGCAAGTTTCTGAAATCTTCAGCCTCTGACCATTCCACGAGTATAAATAGGCATGCCACAGTAAGTTGATCGGCAGGTAATATGGTGTAGCACAGTATGTATACTCCCACCTCTTCCAAATGTCTGGCCAGCATGGAAGCGTAAACCAAAATACCCTCAAACTCTCTCTAGTGGAGGGACTTCTGCCAGGAGTGGCGTGAGCAAATATTTGCAAGGCCGCACCTATCCCATGATGTAATTGAAAGCAAAAGTTGGGGGTGCATCTGTAATCCACTAGTTGCTTGTACGTAACCAGATTAGTACAACGTTATTCAGATTCAGAACATTTATTTAGACTGGAGGAATCCTATAAGCTACAAAGCTCCTTTTCACAGATGTGCAGGAGGGGGCTGGCCAGAGAGTTACAACAACAAACAATACAAAAAACAATTTGAGTGCAAAGTATAGGAAGGCTCAGCAAGTCACTAAATATAAATGGAAACTTTAAACGCGCATGCCCCCTGCATCAGTCAGTTTGTGGAACTTTTGTACCAAACTGAAACAAGATATGGAGACCTCGTCTTGCACACTGAAGTGTGCAGGCTTCGCAGTAGTAAAATACTGGGCCACTTCTTGGCACTACTACTAACAATCAAGTAGTTACTTGCTCAGAAATCATTGATACTGGGAACAAGAGTGCACCTTACTGGAGAATACGTTTTTATCTTAAATCCCACGACAAAACGAAACGTAGGCTGGATACATAATATTCTGGTTACTCACGTTTCCCTATAAAAGAGAGACAGCTACAATAGGCCTTCTTATGGTAAATTGAATTAAGGTATCATTCATTTTCTTGATTATTCATTTAATGTCTTTAGACATCGCATCCCAACTAACGTATTGACATCGGAGCTCAGAACGTAGGATTTCTTCACCGAGCTCTTTCCAGGGACGAGCACGACACATCATGCTGTGAAATGGCCCACAAGAGAGATGCACCATCTCTTAAGGGTCATTTCAACAGGTCTCTCGTATTGCAACCACAAGAGCCACTACATTATGTAGACAAATGCTTCCGCTCTGTGAGAGTCTATTGACACATTAAGTCATTAGAACTGTGAAAAAAGAGGATGCGAGAATATTACTTTCACAATATCCAGGGATCAATTTTAGCAAAAATTAGGCTCAAGCCCATGATCTCAGCAGTTTTCACTCAGTGCTCCAATAAAGATCGCAGCCTTCTTAGCACCATGGTGGTGAGATGTTAACTACCTCGTCTGGTATACAAAAGGTCGTGGGTTCGATTCAGACTCTGACACATGTAAAGTATATTTGGAATTTGCATATTCTCCCTGTGGTCGCGTGGACTTTTCTCCGGGTCCTCCAGTTTTTCCCTCCAGATTTATAATCAACGTGCGTTTAGAGTATTGGCTGCTAGAAATGTCCACGTGATAAGCCACTTCGTTGAGCTTTCATTTGTGATCAGGTCGAATCTGAAAAAGAACTGAAAAAGCTCAGTGGGCCTTACCTGGTAAAATAAAAAAAATATTTTGTAGTTTTCATAGAAACATCAAAAGATATATTATAATCTATAACGTTATGCCTAACACATCTTACAGGCCACAAGCTTCAATTAATAATTTGTATAATCTCGCCACGTTTTGTGTCATCCATGTGTAATGAGATGAAAGCATTTTCTTGGTTGGTATTCAGTATTTAAATAGATAGGCATTATTTTCCTGTAATAGGCATTACAGGAAAATAGCAATTCAAGACATGGTTGTCCTGTACACACTAAATATAAAGCTAGTGTTACAATAGCCTTCATGTGTAAGGTTTATAATATGATAGTGAATTTCAGCAATTATATACAAATTATAATTCAATATGAATTATGACTAATAAGCTTTCATGTTTAAGTAGACAACAAAGCAAAATTACATTTAAATACACAAAAGGCAGTCATTTTCTTCTTAAATGAGCATTACGATGATGCTCATCTCCTGTTTACAACCCTGAGCCAGTGGTGGGAATTTCACGTCGCTATTGCAGGGGTGAGTCTATCCGTACGAGAACCACTGTTGACTTGCCCACAAATCAGTATCCTTTTTTTTACTCAAAATGTGAGCCTGCTTGCTCTACTATTGAGCTACCTGAATGACAAAAAAAATTACATTTACACGTAAAAAACTGGATAAAATAATATACATCCCCAGTATTATTGCGAGCGGCTCGTAATGTGTAAATGTCTTAAATGTTTTTTACAACATGCAAACATAAAGATAAGTATCTGTGGGTGTAGTTGATATAAATGCTTTTGCCTTCACCTTGATAAATAGAATGAAATACTGTATATCCATTGAATGGCTACAAACAAAATCCCATACAGAGTATTACAAGACTCACTTCATACTGCTATGCATTAAAAGGCTACATGATATATAAGATAAACATGTTTTGGATTTGGATCATTCAAGCAGCTGAGGCAAACTGAAACATGTGTCTCCAAAACGGAGTGCATGTGGATCGTGTACCACCTATCCATCCTTTCTATTTTTTGAAAGGAATTGCAACACTATTAATAGGCAGCCGTCGTGACTTATTGTCAAACAGCACTAAAGACTGATTGCTTGGAGATCAATGGCGTGTCCCCGGAAGAACATTGTGCCATGCTGTGTACAGCCGCAGCTGCTAATTGAATGCTACAATCCTGAATGTAAACGTATTCCTGCTAAGGGCGTGGCAGTGCCTGCATGTTCAGGGATGGAAGGTAAAGGACATTTACAAGATATGCTTCCTGTTTGCTTGCAAACAGACTGTAAACAATGCGATCTGGCAGCCCAGGTCAAAACGTGTTTAGAATGTTGATATACTATGAGACCTCCTTTACCAGTGGCAAAATATAGTAATAGGTTTTTACCCTTTCAACTGGTACAAAAACTGACACCTTTATACAAGGGATCATGTTTGCAATAACCACAACACAAGCAGTCAAAATGCAAACAAAAAGAAACAACTCTGATGAGGATAATGATATGCACTGTCCTTGAAGTTGATTGGTCCACACCCGAGACAGCTTTTCTTAGAGCCTAGTCTCCATTGGTGTTGGACCAGATGACGCCAAAAGGGAGACTAGGCTCTCAGAAAAGCTGTCTCGGGTGTGGACCAATCAACTTTAAGGACAGTGCATATCATTATCATCATCAGAGTTGTTTCTTTTTGTTTGCATTTTGACTGCTTGTGTTGTGGTTATTGCAAACATGATCCCTTGTATAAAGGTGTCAGTTTTTGTACCAGTTGAAAGGGTAAAAACCTATTACTATAATGTTGATATAATTTAGGTGACCGATGAATATGCCACAATGCCATCAATTAAATTTGGTTTTACACCAGTCACTTTATTCCCACTGAGAGATGATTTACATATACGTGGATCAACATGAGAATTACCCACTGATCTACAAAAAAAGTGCAGTAAGTAGCAAACTGAAAACATTACAAGAGGAGTTAGAGATATTTTTTATCGTTTGAATGCTCCCTGATGGACACTACTTCAATCTGTGTTGACATAACTGGTGAAAAAACAGAACATGTACAGATTACACTGCTAGTAGTTTGTGGCTCGAGTTTGGAAAATAGCAAACGCTGCCTTGAAATTCACACTTTCCAATGAATATAATTCTACTTAATAGGCAGCCATGTCACATTAAAGAGCACATTGACATTCCATTTAACAAGTAAACCACTTTGTATGTGTTGCCTGAAGCTGAACATTTAATATTACAATCCCAGGAAATTTCAGTGTGACATGTGGGGCATACTAACTTTTAGTTGCTGATTTTATCTGAATTACGTATTGTTTTATATTATCGACAAACATATAGGCCCTAGAGCTCCTTCACCTCACTCACGTGAGCACGTGCTCTAAAGCGAGTGCTCACACTGCTGTTCTGCCCACACTGAACCAAAATGGCACGAAATGTATCGTCATCGCCCAGTTTCTAATGAGAACAAAAATTCCAGTGGATCATTGCAGATCACCTGCAGGTGTCCCACGATAAACATGACTCGACCCACACTTGAACCGCAAGCCGTATAAACGTCTTCGGATCGACCTGACACCGCCCTGCTTCACAGGTCAGCTGCAGGTAGCCGCATTGCTGGCCTATTGTTAAAAGGTGAAGCCGTGCAATTACTTGAAGCTCTATAGAGCCCTTCTAGGGTAGTTTGACCCACTCTTTCACACTGGTCAGACTTTACCCCACAGGATACAACATGTTGATCTACTGACTATGGTGTACCCATTTATACTGCAGGGTGGACAGAGGTGTGGTAAATTTTAATAAACTTGCAACATTATTTCAGCTGCCGTGCCGGCAGATGAATTGAACTGCTGACTCTAGATTTGAAGCTTTCGTGACTGCAAGGAACCATACTCTTTGGTTTTTTCGGTAAAGTCACGTAGATTTCTAACGATCAATTAAATCACGACGTTTCGGAGGCAACACAAGTCTTCAGGTGGAACCGTCACAGGAAAAATTACTGTAACAGAAGGGAGCTCCAAGAAACACGACCTTAAATACTGGTTAAGGGAAAGGGAGGAGCCAGGATGGGCACAGCCCAGTATTTAAGGTCGTGTCTCTTGAAACTCCCTTCTCCTGTTACCGTAATTTTTGCTGTGACGGTTCCACCTGAAGACGGAGGCTTGTGTTGCCTCTGAAACGTGATGATTTAATTTTTCCTTTATTAACCTACGTGACTTTACCAAAATACCAAAGAGTATGAACTGCTGACCTCTGGATTACAAGTCATGTGTGCTACCCGTTACACTATGACAGCATCCCGTTATATTAGTATTGTAAAACAAAAAAACACACGATTGAAAGCAGCCTTACAATGGAAAGGCAACGTCGTTGACGGGCTCGCTGTGGCACGTGGCGATCATCTCATGAGTGAACTCGGGCAGGTTGAACTGATAGATCTGAGCCACTGCTGTTCCAGCAAAGAACTGGTGACCCTGACCACGCAGGGAAATGGATGTCACTGCACCCTCCAGTGCCACCTTTCTGAACACGAGAAGACAAAATGCATCAGTGGGGAGCCAGAACAAAAAAAATGAAAGGCACAGGTGCATTCTAAAATTATTACCCTCAACTGCATTCAACAAATGTTTTGTATTAGCTTGCTTGGAATATATCTATGTATATAATTATGAATGCACCTGCACACCACTTCACACTGTGATACAATACAATTCTCAAGTGGATTCTACCCGCACAATAGATGCACATTGGTAGGTTCACTTAAAAGACAAAAATACAAGGGATAATACATCAATTGTCAAATTATTTTGTTCACGTGTTATATATTTTTGGCAAATGCATGTGACTGGCATGATTTCTGCTCATTGATAAAACATTTATAAAACTGATGCTGTCTACTTAATTGATCATTACTAGAAAAACGAATAATAATACATAATATTAATTTAAAGCCTTTGTGACTGCACTCTTGGATGCAGGCCTCCTCATACAGTGTCAGCCATGAGGGGATTGTTTGACCACACTTCACTATTCTGGGCAAAAAAAAGGGGTTATTGTGAAAGACAAAAGTACAGAATTGATTAGACATCACTCACGAATGATGCCAGCTGTGGCTGGGTATCGAAGTCAGGTTACCTGATTTGTAGCGTAGTGTGCTAACCACTGTACCAGAACTTAATCCGTTAAAGAATAACAATTAGATTAATTTCATATACTGTATGCTATCATTGCATTAAGAATCACAGTAACAATAAGTATCCATTCATAGTGGATTGTTGGTTTAGGCCAGGGGTCGGCAACCAAAATAACACGAAGAGCCATTTCTTTCCAATTCGGTACAAAATTCAGTATTTCAAGAGCCGCAATGCATCTGAGTACATACTGTACATACGTACATATCGTCAAGAAGCAGCCCGTAAAGAGCCGCATGCGGCTCCGGAGCCGTAGGTTGCCGACCCCTGGTTTAGGCCACAGAATAATCTGGCCAAATGTCTGTCATAAGGCCTACCATCACCTGACATTGTCAAACAATTTCAACTGCCATGTGTACAAGCATTTAATCGCCAACTATATATTTTTTCAACTCGCCGGTAAGTTGAAGAACAATTTTCACAACCATATGTATAAATCTGATACTACATCTCAGTTGTTGACATATGCCAATGGTGATATGTCAATTAACCATTGTAAATGTTAACACGTCGCGTAATGTTAAGGTAACATGATACTGCTATCCCACTACAGGTGAGTAGATTAATAGGTAGCATATAATGCTCATCATTGGCGTGGGTAAATTACAATACTGCACAATTTGAATATATTAATTTGTAAATGTTGTTCATCTGATGTCGTAAAGAAGTCAGATCAGGTGACACGGTTATTCTGACTTCTTGGATTTACTCTCGAATTCCTGGATTTTATCCTGAAGATGCTTGGTTGACATCATTTCAATTAAACTTTGTATCTAATTGCAAAGTTTGAGTGTGAAAATTGTTCTTCAATTCACAGGTCAGCTGAAACAAAAATAATCGGAAAAGTAAACACTTGTACAACAAGTTATAAAGTATTTTGTTTGGCTATCTCAGGTGGTGAAATGTCTTACAGCAGAAATGTAGCCAGATCATTACGTAGCCTAGCCCAACAATCAATTATGAATCATATTGGCTGAGAAAACCTATGTGTCGGGTGTTAATTGTATGAATGTTAATATTTAGCTAATATTTAAAATTCAGTTCACAACATTCTATATCATTAAATAATACAACATTTAATGTTCAAACTGTATACCTACATACCAAAACAATGATAAAACATTATGACATCTACATAAAAGAGTGGTACTTGAACAGTGAACATGATAACAAATATTGGCAGCAATTTTAGTTTGATGCTGAATTCAGAAGATGATCCAGATGCATGTCACCAACATGTGAAACTCACTGCACTCTTAATGTAGCTATACACAAATTGAGCCTTGTGGTGCTTTGTTGTAAAGCTCAAGAAAAACAGTCCAATTATCCTGAACTGTTGCACAAAATAATCTTGTTGTCCATGTTGCTCTTGATTAAGCATTGGCTTTCATATGGAGTAACTTTGAAAGCCGAATAATGTCAGACCTGCATCACGCACCTTTTTTAAAATGCCTTTCAAATGTTTTTGTTGGACAAGCAACAAGTGGTCTGATTGGCTGGCTGAGGTAAGGTGATCATCATGGCAATATGACACAACACATTAACACATTAACAACATCTTGCGGACTCAATGAGTCGTTCTCAGTAACCTCGTAAACGTAAATCAAGCAAATATTGACAAGTATATTAAATTTCGATTTAAAGCTTTCGTGACTGCAGGGATTCATCTTCTTGGTTCTTTCGGTAAATATAGTATAGTAAAGGTGCACTTGACAAATGTCGTGCGTAATACTCGGCCGTTTCACTAATGCTGCTGAGAATGTGACTGAGTTGCTATGGCTTTTTCTGAAAAGAGAAAAAGTTGTACAGGGGACAGCGATTCCGCTATAGACAATGTATAATGATTATAAATCACATGAGTGACACTTACTGCATTGTCTTGAAGTTGGCTTCCTTGCAAAGTGCAACCACACCATCTCCTGTACCAACCAAAAGCTCTCCAGACTTGAGGAGACTCAAGGCTGTTACTCCCTACCAGGAACAAACAGGAATTGGATTGTTTGTTAATGGAAATGCCCGTTAGATTTTTGCTTGAATCAAATACAGCTCTTTGGATCCATTCAGAATTACAATGACAATTAAGCACACGATGCAACATATAATTGGACATGTAATGCTCACTAACAAGAACACTGTTTTATCAGGATACATTGCAGGATGATGAGCGATGAATAACACTGGTGACAATGGCAGCCAAATAATGTGAATCTAATCTCTCTCTGTGTGTCCTCGTGTTGTTGCTTTATTATTTCCTGCAGTCACGAAAGCTCCAAATCCCTCATTGACATGCTAATTTCTATACCCCCCCCCCCTCTCTCTCTGCCCCCCTCTCTCTATTTAAGGCTTCGACACAGAGGCGTTGTTTCTATGTGTGCCTATGTGTGTGTCTCTCTCTCTGTGTGTCTGTGTTATCTCTCTCTGCTTATGTGTCTGTCTATGTGTCTCCGTGTCTGTGTTTTGTCTCTCTCTCAAATTTAGCAATCTTTGGAAGAACGTAATCACCAAGTGGGGTGTTGACTGTTGTGTTAGCCGACTCACTGTGTTGTATTGCATTATATTTCTAAGTTTACTAGGTTTGTTTTCTCTTTCATTTGTACCTGATGATGGTTGCTTGTGTTGCAATCGAAACGTCGCATGCTATCATTTTTTTTCTACGTGACTTTACCGAAAGAACCAAAGAGTAATTCCTGCAATCACAAAAGCTCAAAATCAAGTTTGAAACACCTCTACGGGGAGGTTTTAAGTTTGTTTTCTCTCTCTCTGTGTGTCTCTGTGTCTCTGTGTTGTCTTTCTCTGCTTGTGTGTCTGTCTTTGTGTCTCCGTGTCTGGGTCTTGTCTCTCTCTCAAATTCCACACTTAACTTCTAATTTAGCAATATTTGGAAGAATGTAATCAACTAGGCTATGCGTTAATTGTGTGTTGACCGACTTTCTGTGTTGCATTGCATTACATTTCCAAATTATTTTTATTAAGTGTGTATTTCTCTCTCTGTGTGTCTTTGTATTGTTTCTCTAATATTTCCTGCAGTTTGGTTTATCTCTCTCTGTGTCTCTGTTGTCTCTCTCTGCTTGTGTGTCGGTATGTGTCTGTGTTTTGTCTCTCTCTCACATTTAGAAATCTTTGGAAGAACAATCAACCAGGTTGACTGTTATGTTAACCGAATCTCTGTGTTGTAATTGCATTATCTTTCTAAGTTTACTAGGGTTGTTTTCTCTTTCATTTGTACCTGATGATGATTGTTTGTGTTGCAATCGAAACGTCGTATGCTATTATTTAATTTAAAAATATTTCTACGTGACTTTACCGAAAGAACCAAAGAGTAACCAAAAGGAAAGTGGAGTGATTCCATAACAGCCTGAATGTAAGAAATACATTGTACTCCAGTATATCAGCTGACATAAATGTGTACGACCTTATGTGGAAAAGCCACCAAATTGAGACATTCTTAATGAAACACTGATATGATAATTTTCAATAGTGGAAACTGAATATTTCAAATGTTATTTCTTAAATGACATTCAGTAGCTGTTACAAAGGCAAGTGAATAACAACCTCTTCAAGCAGAAACACACCTAGAACAATTGCCTTTGTTCAAGAGTCTCAACATTGTTTGGAAAGATATTGCATTACAATGCATGGGCAATTTATTTTAGTTAATCTAAATATGTTAACCAGATATAAACGTCTGTGATGTCTCACGAGAGAAATATATCATTTTTGGATAAACATTAAATTTTTAGCTAATACATTCTAAGTTTATTATATTTTTGTCAAATATCTCTAAATTAGGTTGCAATGACAGAGCGTTTGACTCACACTTGGCCATCAAATCTCCAGAGCCTCTAAAATAAATAAAAAAACACTTTGTTGGATGTCCACAGTAGTTGTCATGTGTAAATACTGGCCCCATCATGTTAATATGGAATTAATATTATTGACTCCGGTACGTTAATGAAGATGAGAATTGCCCTATACTTGTATGGCACCCTGTTATTTATCCGAGTTATGCAGGCCTGCCGCCAATGATCGGAAACAACAACACCTTAGATCTGCTGCTCTTGGTAATCTTGTTGTTGTTACACAAACCCTGCCTAAAGACGACTCATGAATGCGTTTCAGAAGGTGGGCCCTTTCACATGGATTTTACTACCCGACAAACTCAAGAACACAAAACCTTGAGTTCAACCACTTCAAGAGAGACCTTAAAATTAATTTAAAAAACACAGTGTGACGAGTCAGAAATGCGCATTAGAGATGCTATTAGCATGATTTTGCATTTGTTAAATGACTATTTACATTACGTTACATGAGCAGGGGGATGTATTTTCACGATCTAAATACAAAATCCAACAACAGATTATTAAAAAGTATTCATAATCAACGTTTTTGGGTTTAGATCGCGTTATTTATAAATGTGTCGTAACCCTCCACCACCCGACACGGCCAATCAGTAAAAAAGTGTCACGTTGACAAAAGACAATTAGTTCACTGCTTTAGCCCACCGGTGTGTTGAAGCGTGAAACCACAACAATTTACAATTTGAGTATGACGTCTCGCTGGTAATTGCGATTTAAAGGTTTTTATTAACTTCTCAACGGGTACAAGGAAAACCAAAGAGAGTACTGAAAACCACTCCTTCCCTTGCGCCCCGGTTGGCCCCTTCGAGTCTTCATCACATCCGCGGGCTCCACCCACATACAATGCAACAAAAAAAGCTCGCCGCCATAACGCACACCGCCCCGTTCCCCTTATTTACATTCATCACCACCATTCACCCATGCGCTGCTCCATCACATCGCCTTCCCCCGATCGAACACGTACATTCCTTGCCCACACGACTTAGCAGGCCGGCTAAAATGTGCATGGCCATCCTTCACTATCCCTTCCCTATACCCGCCGGTCCCCTCGCTACCCCACCCCGGGTAGGGGCCACTTCCACTTCACACCTGCGGCCTTGTATCCCAGCCTAACCCGGTCTACTTCCATCACCCTTTCTAGCAACCTCCTTGCCCAGTAGCACACCTCCAACGGTGATATAGGGGACCCATCCAACTCTTTTCTGCGAGCTCCCCACAAGGCCTCCTTTGTCGCGCCTATTATGGCCGACGTTCGATCTCTGTCATCTCCCCGCACCTCCCTTAAGACTCCCCACATAATGTCCCGACTTATCACCTGCGACGGGTAAAACCAGGACAACAGCGGACTGCTCAGTCTCCACACCTCCTGTGCGAAGGGACACTTCACCATGACGTGCACCGCGTCCTCATCTGTGTTGCAGCCCCTCGGGCATTTGGGCGAACGTGCCATTCGGCGAGAAAACATGAAGCCCCTCGTCTCCAATCTATCCCACACCGCCAACCAGGACAGATCTCTCTGTTCTTTTGTGAGCGCCGTTGATGAAGTGTTCCTCCACACTTGACGGTACATAGTCCTCTTCGCGCCCATCACCCCCTCGCAGGCCTCCCCTTCGTTTACTTTGGCCAATACCTCCTTGGAGTTCCACGGTCCCCCTCTCTGACTCAAATTGTACACTTTTATGTAGTCACCCACCGCCGCATTCAGCCATCCTTGTGGCCAGGCCAAGGGCGTGCCCGCCGGTAATTGGGTCATCCCAAGCTCCCTCAGGAGCCACATCAGGCGATACCTTAAATAACATGCGGCCTTCCCCCGGGGCTCTTCGGAAAAGAATAACCTCAAAGTGTTGCACACAAAAATTGAGGACAGCACACGTGCAATATTTGGGGCACCCTTCCCCCCGTTCTCGACGCGTTTACACATCACCACCCTCTTCACTCTATCCATCCCGCCTCCCCAAATGAATTTAAACAACAGCGATTCCAGGATTCTTGCCTCCCTCCTACCTGGCGGGTACACATATGCGAGGTAGTTGAGTGTTGGTAAAACCACAACCCTCACTACCAGAATCCTCCCTTCCATCGTGAGCCGTCTCCCGGCCCACTTGCCTAACTGTCCCTTTACCTGCTTTATCCTCCCGCCCCAGTTTCGTTCCGCCGACCTCTCTCGGCAAAAGGACACTCCCAAGACCTTGACTTCTTCCGTCTTTATCCCCAACTCAGGCGGCCTGCCCTCAAATAGTCTCGGGTCCCCGAAGGCCATCAATTCGCTCTTCCTCGCATTCACCTTCAAGCCGGAGGCCAGGCCAAAGCGGTTTGTCTCCTTCATGGCCCCCCACACTGATGCCACGTCCCTACATAGCACGACTACGTCATCCATATATAGCGCCACCTTCCCCTGTTCCTTATTCCCGGGGATGGTCACTCCCTTAATCTCCTCATTGTTTCTTATTGCCTGTGCAAGGGGTTCCATACACATTACAAATAGAACCGCGGACATCGGGCACCCCTGTCTCACCCCTGACTCTACTGGAATTGTCCCTGAGAGCTCCCCATTTATCAGTAGTTTGGTCTTGAGCCCTTGGTAAAGACGCCTCACCCAATCGACCAAGGGTCCCCTCACTCCTATTTTTTCCAACACTGCGAACATATACTCGTGCGAGAGGCAGTCAAAAGCCTTCTCAAGATCCAGGCTAAGAAGCCCTAGGGGGCATCCCCTCTCTCCTTCTACCTCTATTGCCTCCCTTAATAAAATCAGGGAGTCCGAAATCCTTCTTCCTGGCACCGCACACGTCTGGTCGGGTTCGACTACTCCCTCCACCACCTTCCCCAGGCGCGTCGCAGCTATTTTTGCCATAATCTTGTAGTCCGAGTTCAGGAGCGTAACTGGACACCAGTTTCCCAACTCTCTCCGGTCCCCCTTCTTATACATCAGTATGATGAGCCCCTCACACATTTCTTCTGGCACCAGTCCACCCTCCAGCATTTCCCTATACATCTGCAGCATGTCCCCTTTCATTAAATCCCAGAATGTAATATAGAATTCTGCTGGAATTCCATCCAGTCCTGGCGTCCTATTCTTATTCTGCCTCCTCACTGCCTCCTCCACTTCCTCCA